ATTTCGCAAGCCGCGAATATTAAATGATACAAGCGATAAACCCTTAGGTTTGATACGACCGTGGGATCTTGGTAGGTTAATTTGCTCAGACATTGGAGTTAAGTTAATTAAGTTAACTTAACTTACAACGCTAGCAGAAGATCGATGTGTTCAGCAAGAGCGAGGAGACGCTCTTGAGGGGACTTCGCCGCGCGCAGTTTGCGTGCTATAACGGTGATCTCCCTAACATCGATATTCCTAATCGCGGAATATAGCGTGTTGTAGTCGTCGGGTGTGGGCTCTGCCTCGTGTGCGTACGAGGTTGTCCGCGGTGGGTCTGCCTTTTTGGGCCCCCAGGGAAAGACTGGAGGCTGCATTGGCTTGGAGAAGCCCGGAGGGGGCCGAATTATGCCCTGAGGGGGGCCTAGGGGGACCCTGAGGGGGCCTAGGGGGACCCTGAGAGGGTTGAGGGAAGCACCGGATAGGCTGAGAAGGGCCCTGACGGGGCCGTTGTTGGATGGACGGGAATGAGCGGTCATTCACCGGCGGTGGAGCTTTCCTACTGGGGCGAGGTTAAGGTGCGCGTGGGCAACCCTTGTAGTTCGCCGGGTGTCCTGTCTGGTTGCACAGGACACAGGCGGGCGGCGATTCGGCGTCTTTGGGCCGGGGACACTCTTTAGTGTTATGAGGTTCCAGGCACTTCACGCACCTGGGTGGGGCGGAGCAGTTGGCCGCCGCGTGACCATAAAGTTGGCAGCGGTGGCATTGCGCCGGGAAACCGGGCCTATGTGGGGGCTCTACCTTCACCCTTGACAGGCCGCACACTGTGCGCACCTGCCGGAAGATGGCTTTAGCCTCCGGCACGTTTGTCAGGATTACTAGGGCAAGGTTGTATCTATTGCCCGTTCTATTGTGCATTTTGTGCACTGCTTTACGGGGAAACCTTGGGACTTAAGGTCCTCAAGGATTTCCTCGTTAGAGAATTCGAATGGGACGCCTCTGATGACGGCCCTGACTTTACGCTCTTCAGGGAGAGCGTACGTGTGGTAAGATACCCTTTCGGCTGTGAATAGCCGGGTGATTGCGCGGATTGGTTTACGGTATTCGAAAAAGTTCTACTGCGATTAGATTTCATGTGAATTTGAATCAATTCGGTTCGGTAGAATTTGCGAAGTCCCAAAAATAAAAATTTCAAAAACATTTTTTTTAATATTACTTTTAAACTAATGTATTGACTGGTTAAAAATCTAACCAGCACTTAACCTCTTCATCAATTTGCCACAAACCGCATCAAAATCGGCACATTTGGTCAAGTGAAATCGTTGTCGAAAATCAAAATTTTTCGAGAACGATTTTTCTTGAATCTCTGTTGAAAATAGTCATAGTCATAATTTGAAATTAGGGGAAAGTTGCGAGGATGACCTGAATGGTCAACCGTATTTTTTTTAAAGGAAATGGGTGACAAGCGAGCATACAGTTCACCTGATGGTAAGTGGATGTGGGCCGATAGACATCTACATTTATCTATTATTAAGAAATGAAATAGAAATTCATCGTCACCCTTTGTGACTGAGATGAAATGCCTCGTTTCACAGTAAAAAAGGTTTTAAGGGTAGAGGTATAGTTAAGCTATGGCTGTTTATCAGGCGTCGGGAAAAGTAGCGAAGTGACGTGTTTATAATAGCTGTAATAACTTTCGAATGTACGCGGAAGCGTCAGTAGCAACATTTCAAGCGAAATTCCGTCACTGTCCAGCGCATTTTATTTTAGTAAACGTATGACTTTGTAAACTATGGTGTCATCAGTGTGCTTTAACTTTTTAGTTTATATAAACGTGTCTTTACAAAACGCATGCAATGCAAAAACAGTATACGTACATATATATACAGGTGTTAGTGTAAACACCGTTATCCTTGAAACCAGTGGTTTGGTTTCACTTATAGAACGCAAATTCAATGAATTTAAAAAAACGCTATTTTCTTTCATAAAATTTAAAAAGTTTCTGTCCGACACCGTCTGTAAATTCATGGATACCCTATGCCTTCGAGTGACGTAATCACTGTAAAGATCACCGCTTGCGCTAGCTACCCACATTAACACCTAACATTCCAATAAAACACAATAGGTTTACATAACCTGTGATGTAACTTTTCCTTCATACTTTCATCCTGGCTTAGCACAGGCAAAAATTGAGGAAAGGAAAAATTGAAATTTTACTTAAAAAAATGTTGTTATTTTTCATTGAATTTACGTTCTAAACCACTGGTTTCAAGGATAACGGTGTTTACACTAACAACCTGTATATATTATATACACAGAAAAATACAATCCCCAGAAGACACAAGTTTGCGCGTTAACCGCTAAAAAGAACCCCTTTGTCGTATTTCCTCAGTTTGAAGGCACTCCCCGTGCTGCCTCAGCTAGCATCGGAATCCTTGGCATCGATATATCGAATAGTGTGCTGTTTCGTGGTCACTTGGAGGGGAAAGCCAAATTGGCCTCTAAAAAGCTTGACGTGCACAGCAGAGCGAGATATTATTTCATGCCGGCACATAGTTTGCAACTTTACAAAGCGCAAATTTGGCCTCACATGGAATACTGTTCTCATCTCTGGGCCAGGGCACCCCATCGCAAACTCCTTTCACTTGACCGCATCCAGCGCAGAGCAATTCGAATCGTCAACGACCAAGTTCTTTCTGATCGGCTCGATTCACTGGCGCTGCGTAGGGGTGTTGCATACCTTTGCATTTTTTATCGTATCTACCACGGGGAGTGTTCTGAGGAGTTGTTCAGATTAGTTCCAGCTGCCAAATTTCACGAACGCAAATCCTCACCATCTGGATGCTTGGCGGTCCACCACGGTGCGTTTTACTTGTAGTTTTCTTCCTCATACAACTTCTCTATAGAATTGTTTACCACGGGCGATTTTTCCGGTCCGATACGTCTTAGAGACCTTCAAGAAATGAGCTTACTCTTTTCTAAAAGGTCGGCAACACACCTGCAATTCCTCTGGTGTTGCGGTTGTTCATGGGCGGTGGGAGTCACTTACCATCAGGTGAGTTGCATGCTCGTTGGCCCCCTCTTATACAAAAATAAATATTTATTAAGTTCATACTAATAATACATTTATTATATTTATTATATTATTATTACACCTTCTTCATAAATTAATATTTAAAATATTGGTACCGCATCATTCATGATGAAGCCTGTGACAAATATTAAAATAATATACATAATATATTATTTAATATAACTCTCATGCTTGTTATATAATATTTTACATAATAAGCATGAGAGTGTGTTGCGGCGATAAGTAATTAGGCGTAGAAACATAATCGGAGTACATACAACATCGATACAATTCATATAAACAAAATTCAAAAAACATACATAAAGCATATTAAATATTTTATGAAAAAAAATGGAGTACAACAACACTGATTTTATTTACAGTAAATATTACAAGCCTACTGCACTTTTGATGTCAAGGTCATCTAACGTAAATACGACCATCACCCGTCCATACATATTTCCAGTCATGCTTCGAGGTCTCTTGGCGGACCTTATAAAAAAGCTGACGGTTTGACGCGTCAGACATTCATTAATATTTTTAATTTTTTGACGGGCTGGGCTGATTGAAACCAGCACCATCGACACCTCGATGCACCCTTGCATCTGTAAGAAACTGTTCTTGATCACGGTCATTTGGCTTCATTTTATGATTCCATCATTTTACTAATTTCATTACTACTGTTTGAAGGTGGTTCACAATTTCTTTGTTGCTAAAACTCATCTACTAGTAATCTGTGTTATGTGCAGTCGACCCGCTGCATAAATCGACTACCGCCGTATATATATATATATATATATATATATATATATATATATATATATATATATATATATATATATATATATATATATATTATATTGATTTAATATATATTAGTTTGTAATATCTTGATGCATTGATATTTAATGACCATTTGTCATCCGAGTCTAATGGCGAAGACGCTGAAGATTCGCTTTTATTAAAATCTGTTTGCGTAAGTGGCGTATCCGAATTGTTTTACCGCGGCTGTTTATGTTTATGATCCTGATACCCTTTTTCTCCTATTTGCTTCCCTCTTTCGCCCCTTACAACAACCACGGGATGATACGGGTAGATATTCTTACACTGCCACCACTCCGTAAAAACTAATTTAGATTATACTACATAGTTTGAAAGCTCTGTATTAATAAGAAGTAAAATTGAATTTAACATTTCCACTGTTTAACATGGGCATTTCTCTTGTATAAAAAATTTGCACCAGAATCAGCCAGTATGGCAATTTCAGTACCAGATATTTGACTTATGATTGATGATTTAATTTTGACGTTTCTCCTCATCGCCAGTCTGTTAATATTTTACACCTGGCCATATCGCTATTTATCGAAGGCAATGCAACTTTTTTGGAATTTATTATTGTCGCTAAGTGGGTACCATAGATTACTGTATATATACTAGAGAGTAGGTTTAATTCTCGTAAAGAGTATTATCAACATATTTTAGACTAGCAAGGCGTCCCGGCTTCACCTGGATGGGATCTATTAATATGGCTTTATTTATATATAAGGTAATTAATACTATCTATTTTATCGTTTTTTTTTTCAAAATCGGTTTTGAGCAACTAATATCCAACTATTTAATACAACTTTACTTTTAACTGTTAGCATGATATAGCTTCAAATATCCTCTTGTGCTTAAACCTCGAATTCAACACTGGCAGGTAGCGACATAAAATTTATGTTAATCTGTGTTTACAAATTCATTACACGATCATTGTCGTAAATGTCAAATAAACCTAAATTTTGAACTGAGCTGTTACGCTATTTCAAAAATAATGGTCGTTAAATTTAGATATCTAAAAATATTCCGAGTATGCAAATAACAGAATTTATGGAAATCGACTTTACGAACAAATTTTAGAAAAAAAAGCAAAAACACGTATTGAAAAAGAGTGTTACAACTGCTAGAAATGGATCTTGAATTTAAGTTTGACGAACTAAAATATGATATAGTTAAAAGAATCGATAAGGAATTGACCGACTCACAAAACGCTAGAGAATTTGTTTCTCAAAAATACGACGAGTTGTGTAATAAAATTAAACATTTAACGGAGCTTGATGCAACTGTCACAGGCTTTAGAAGCGATGTGAAGACTATAGAAAAGCAGCTCACCGAATTGTCGAATAGAATAGACAAGATCGAGAAGAAAATGATTTCTAGGGATAGTTCTATAACCGCATCGAATCTGTTTTGACATTTGTAATAAATTGTGATTGTAGTATTTTTTAATTTTAATTTTTAAAAAACCACACATACATATTTTACTAGTAACCGGGCTCTTGTTCTGCAAGTCTTCTTAAATATTATAAACCGCATAAATATGCATATCATACTGCACTTAAGTTAACAAAGAACGATGGAGTACTGCGTACATTTGAAGTATCAACTTATTGTTGAACGTGCAGTTACGTCAAAGAGATTTAAATATATATACTAACTACATACTTAAATGTCTTTGAGTGACGTACACAGAATACAACATGGTTTTATATGCATATTATGTGTGCGTCCAGCTGTGTTACGGGCTGTTCAAGAAAGATATGTACGCACACTTCTTTCTTGTGTGTGAAAAGTGTAACATAATTTCAACATCACTTGACGTCACAATTTTACGTGGTGGAGCCACGTTGCAGCTATATTATGATAGTATCACGACTAAGTTGGCTCGACCGGAGCAGGACCACGCTCTCACAGAATACCAGCTTAAAATAGTAGCGTAATGCTCCTGTGTTTCGTACGGTGAGTGTAGAGTACCGGAGACCCTTTTAACTCGAATCGAGGCATTCCATCTTAGTCCTCAGCGGTGACAACGCATTTGCATTTTGATTCTTAATTGAGGATAAAAGTGGATGTCTATGGGCCACAGTATCCACTTACCATCAGGTGGACTGTGTGCTCGTTTGTCAATCATTGCTATAAAAAAACTTACTTTGTACGCAGCGTATAATTAAAAAATATGAGTATAGATGGAATATTGTAGAAGATCGCCTACGCAATTACAAACTCAATATCCAACGAACGGAACGGAAACAAAGCTTTCCATCTCAGTCCTCAGAGGTAACAACGCGTTTGAATTTTGATCCTTAAGTATAAATGTAGATGTCTATGAGCCACACACCAATGTTCGTTTGTCACCATTATTCTATAAAAAAAAAACATTGACGCGTTTTTTGATTCGCTAGTCAAGTAACACAGTCGGCACATTCTTTTTTGTTATAAGTCGCACATAAACATGGGACTAACTACAATAACTATGTTAGGCCTCTTCCATATTAATATGTTTTCAGCCTATGATAATGTACTGCGTGGTTTCACAATTACACGATAGCAAAAAGAACTTAAAAGAATTCTGATAAATAAGAATAAGTACAACGTATGCATACACTTCCATTCCCAACATGCTACCTACATCTACATGTTAGACATACCTCACAGAGCGAAGGCGAGTACAACATATGGACGGAACATTTGTCTAGCCTCGCCATTGCTGGTCGTTGCTCGCCTAGCTGGCCAAGTGCAGGCGAGCGCCAACGTGTAAACGGTTCATTTGGTGTGCCTTGACTCGGGATCGCTCGAAACGAATAATCTCACTTCGAAACAGTGTCAGATTTACTGCACAAATCAAAGGCGCTCGCCCGCGCTCTGCAAGTCGTGTCCACATGTTAGTTGGCCAAGTCAGTATGTTCACTTTCACAAACCCGGCCAACATGTAGACTGTAGCGGTCGCCTTGAATCAATTTGCCTACGCTCGCGTTAACTGAGTCTTGGTCAACATGTATTGCCGGTTTAAAACGGGCTGCGAGGTATTGCGTGGCAAGACTTGGTCGTTAGATTTCGTTAGGCCACATCCATCAGGTGGACTGTAAGTTGTTTGCCTCTTTATTTTTTTATGAAAAAACAGGCATCTGCAAAATTACGATTTCCAACGTTTTCTTACTCCGAGACAAGAGAATGATTTATGAAAATGGGAAAAAAAACTTTATCACTATGTTAAATTAAACCCGTTGTAAAATCCAACATATTTTATTAGCAACAATCAACATCACTTAAATTGTATAACTAAAAATAATAACATAATATAAATACACAATTAAACAAATACAAAATATGTTAGCATCCTTTCACTTGAGTAAACAGTCTAAAAATATTGTCTGGCACTTATCCAAAACTTAAAAAATTCATTCTTTTGTGTAGTTTTATTTTAAAAAAACTTTACCGAAAGAACGAAATTTATAAGTTATTCTCTATATCAACATAACGATTCTTAATCTACAATATATAATTATAGTAAAATATTTGGCACATTTCTTTTCGTTCGTTAACTCAAAAAACTAAGTACACATTTAAATATATTATACATTAGTTTCCATTTAAAATATTATTTCATGTCTACGTAAATTATCCTACTCTAAATTGAACACATAAATTATTTACGTTAAAGCATTAAAATATACATTCCATACGTTCATTTTATTTAACTCTTAATTCTTGTAATAACCATATGTAATTCACATAAAATATTATCTCATTCATAAATGTATCTCAATTATAAAAAACAACATGTGAATGTGTGTCCCTGGCGACGACCGATTTCATATCACTCCTACATTTTCATTGTATTTGAGTATTCTATTTGTACAAATGATGGAGCCTCGGCTACAACTTAAATTTTCTTTCCACCAAGAATAGCCTGAATTTGTGATACAGTTTTTCCCTTTGTCTCGGGTATTAAAAAGAAGACAAAGAATATGCAAATCACCATAAATCCAGCGAAGAACCAGAAACAGCTGTAAATACCAATCGCATCCTTCATCAATGGGAAGCATAACGTGACAATAAACACCAAACACCAGTTCATAATCACTGCAATACCAGACGCGGACCCTCTGAACTCGACCGAGAATAATTCGGCCATCATCATCCAAGGTATCGGACCAAAGCCCAAGGAGAAAGAAATTATAAACAGCACCAAACAAACTAACGGAATCCAACCGACAACAGAAAGATTAACACCGTCTGCTTGGATCTTGAAGTAAATACCGAGAATGATCAAGCAGAAACCCATGATAATACAGCTTTGCAGCAACAGGATTCTTCTGCCAGCTCGCTCAATCAACAAAGAAGAGATGTAAGTGGCGATAGTTTGGACGACTCCGACTATGATTGTTGCGATCGCTGGGGGGATGTTCGAGCCGGCAGATTGGAAAATGTTGTTTGTGTAGAAAATAACGGCGTTTATCCCGCTGAACTGTTGGAAGAACATGAGGCCGAGGGAACAGATTAGAGCCATCAGGGAGGCCTTGTTCGTGACCATGCTGAGCATTCCGGCGCGCTGGCGGGAAGCGTCGTCAACCTGGAAATAAAAATATATTGAAAATTTTTCAAAGAGTTCTCTGCTTACATAATCCATTTATCTCTGGAACCGAGGCATTCCATTTTAGTCCTTAGGGGTGACAAAGCATCTGAATTGTAATCTTAAGCGATGATAGATGTTGTTGAAAACCTATGCTGTTGCGAGGTTAACATCGTAGTTTATAGTGGACATATTACTCTGTCAATGTAACTCTCTAACTATACGCGCACGATATGTATATGTCTATCAAACTCACATTATGCATAGCATTGTTATACATAAACTTGACATAAAGTTCAAGTGCATTGTGTAGGATGTGTAAAATATCATACTAAAAATCATCTTCTTCATCAGGACGTAAGACTCCATCAATGGACATGAGCATGTTTCATTTTAGGCAGAATATGTCTTTAAAATCACGCTTGGCAGGCTAATTGACCACGTATCACCAGAAGTTTCGCACCATTAGCGTTGTTTCCTGTCGCCCAGTCGCAGGTCTAAATCTGAAAGTATTAGCATACTTAAGTTTACGCCTAACGGTAACTAGATAGTTTTACCTCCGTCTATCGGGAGACATAAGACCCTTTTGGCGTATCACGCAGTCGCCTGAACATAATTTCATAAATATTTATTTTAATTTAAATTGTTATTAATTTCATTTTGACTTTTTCTTATTTAAATCTTAGAGTAAGAACAATTTTTTGTATGTAATAAATAAAATAACAATAATATTATTTATTAATAATAAAATGGCGGTTAACATGACGGTGATATAAAAAGAACGTTCAGCAGTTCAGAGAGAATGAGCGAAGTCAAATATTATATATTACTAGCGATCTGCCCCGGCTTTGCACGGGTGATATCTGGATTCTACAACAGCGCCACCTACCGGGTCCAACTACTCCTATAACCTTGGCGTAAGTGCAGGCAATAAGTTGACAAAGTTTTACCGCAATCTGATGAACGGTATGGCAGAGCATAAAATACGTAAAAACAAAAATTAGTTCTTATATATTAAATTTGGTAAAGTTGTCTGTGAATTTATCCTATTCTTATTCTGGAAGCTGTAGTAGCTCAGATGGTTAGTGCTCGCTGTAAATTTCACAGTATTCGAGCGGGTTCGATCCCCGTCGGCACCAATGAAATTGTTAATTGCAATTTTAAATGCTGATTTAACACGTGCTCGGCGGCGAAAGATAACATCGTGAGGAAACCAGCATGTCTGAGAACAAACAAAAAAATATTTCGACGACATGCGAAGTTTGCTAACACGCATTGGGGCAGCGCGGCGGACAATTCCTTGCCATAAAACCCTCTCAAAAATGAGCGTAGGCCTGTGCCCAGGAGTGGGACTTATATAGACTGTAACTTTAACTTTTAACTTTCATTCTGAAAGCCATAGATAATATAAATACACACAGAGAGTAATATTAATAATAATTTAACTGGTATCCTTTATGTTTTCAAAGAAGTCAAAACTTACATCTTTCTGCATGTCCTCAAGTTCGCCGGTGAGGTCTGCGTCGGGACCTCGCAGCCATCGCAAAACTTTCTCAGCATCACGACGTCGGTTCCGGCTTAATAAATATTGTGGGGTTTCAGGCATCCACCTGGTAACGACAAATTGTTTTATTTCACTTTAGTAATAAAAAAATTCTATCCAACAGATTCTCAGATTTGGGTGATAACTTCACGAATATCTTATCTTTTTTGATAAAAGTAAGATTAAAAAACGAACACACAATCCATCTGGTGGTAAGCTGATGCTCCAGCCGAAAGACACCTACATATATCCTAAACTAAGCATCAAAATGAGACTTCAATATCCCTGAGAACTAAAA